CCCCCCCCCCCCCCCCTCAGAAAAAATAAAAGAAAAACAAAGCCGAAACGACTCTCAACCCACACCGAAGCAGAATGCAGCCCAGCAAAATCCGATAATTGCCCTTCAACACCTCTTTTCAAAAGCTTGTAAAGTAAATTACAGCCCCACAACAACCTCCACAGCAATTCCAGACCCTCCTTCACCAAACCCTCTTGTTGGCCTAAACCCCGACCCCTGAGACACACCACCCTCCCTTTAGGCACCCTCATATCGAGCCCTTTGATAGAACCCTTAAAGGAACCTGATTCTAGAGCCTCATTAGGAGCCCTTAAGGGCTACAGGGCCCCTTAAAAGGAGCCCTTGAAGGAACCCGAAATGGAACCCTCAAAGGAAGTAAAGGAACCCTTTGAAGGAACCCTGATAGGGACCCATAAAGGAACCTGTACAGGAACCCTTAAAGGGACCTTGTTACTCATTCCGAAAGTACCCTAAACCCTAAACCAAAAAGCCCGAATTCATTCCGAAAGCACCCTAAACCCCCTAAACCCAAAAACCCCAAACCCTATTATGGAACCCTGCCCTTAAAAGGGAGCCCTTAAGCAAAAAGCTCCGGAGAGCCTGCAGGCCGAGGCTGAAAGCCGTCCCGAGCCGAGTCCCAGCGAGGCGCCGCCGGCCGCCGCGCCGAAGGCCATCGGTCTCTGCAGTTATTCTTAACATGGTTCCCTAAACCCTAAACCCTAAACCAAAAAAACCCTTAACATGGTTCCCTAAACCCTAAACCCCAAACTTTAAAACCCCCTACTGCACTTAAAAAAACTTTAAGCCCTAAACCCTAAACCATGATGAATATTGTTATTGCGACAAAACCTTTTTTAAAGAAATAATAATAGTACTGTTATTGCTATTGTGTTAGTATTTATTTTGGTATGATTCATCATCTTCTTCTTATTGTCATTTGTTGTATGTTTAAGTTACAGACTTGAACCAAAGGGCTTAGGTTTTCGGGTAACCATAAACCCTCAACCCCTGTAAATTCCTTGAGTCCCCTACTCGCAAATCACCTAAACCCTCAGTGCAGGCTAGAATGGACTAGCGTAGATTCGGGTAGTACAAGATCAACTACCACAGTAATGTACATAAATCATGATAGATCAATGCGCCAAGAGATGCGTAAGCAAATCCGTATACTTGGAGCTCTTTCGTGAGATTTCGGCGGGCTATAGCACACCTTCGGGGTTGTTGTTGAGGATATCAGTGCTTTGGGTGTAGAGTTTTGTGGGGTTCCCTTATAGAGGGTGCTTGTTATAAGGGTGCCGTACTGTATTGGGACCGAAAACGGACCCTAATCTAGAGAACTACCCACCCTAAACCCTAAACCCTCAACCCTAATCCCTAAACCCTAAACCCTAAACCTACCCAAGTCGAGGGGCTTGGGCCCCGGGGGATCCGAGCCAGGAGCTTGGCTGAGATGTTGTTGGGGGTTTGATCTTTGTTATGAGACTTGCTGGGCCCGGAGGTTATTTGTCTCGTTCCTGCTCTTGTTTAGGGTTTAGGGTGTCGGGTTTTGGGTTTGGGCTTTAGGGGTTTAGGGGTTTAGGGGTTTAGGGCCTAATTAAACCCTGAATCGTGGAAGGCAGAAGCCAACAGACTGAGGGCAGGCCGAATACGCCCTCTGCTCTCGTCGCACGATTGACTCGATTGAACGCACTCATTAAGACTAGGGATAAGTTCTCCCTGCTCTTGCGTGAACTGATCTTGTTCTTGGGGCTTTAGGGCTCCGTCTATCTATCTACCTATCTGTCTGTCTGTCTGTCTGTCTGTCTGTCTGTGTAGCTGTACTGAGATCAACTACATCGTCAGGCCGAAATCCTGAATCCCACAGCTCACTAAACCCTCAACCCCCTGCGCTGCCCTGCCCTGCCCTGCTGCCCT